CCTCGAGCTACTTATCATTAGCGACTAATATTGTTATTCCCAGAGTAGCAGTCGTAGGAAGTATTAGTGGGATTATGGTAGGATTTTGATTCACACGGATTTCTCCCTCTTCTGAAAGTCACGCCTTTTTTCTAGATGAGACCGTGAATTTCGAATCGTGGGCGTAGAAAGAGGGGAAGATATTAGTATAAGAAACACTGTGGATTCAGAAGAAAAAGAATTGTAGCGTCCAATGCTGGCGCTCTCTGGAACGGAGTAGATGCTCTACTTTCTCTCAGGATGGCAGAAAAAGTGTTGTAACTGTTTAACTGGTAATCAAGATAACGGCGATTAATTGGCTAGTGTTAGCCAATAAATTGTTATTATCAGCCCTGTTTTTCGACTGAATTGGTACCTAAATCTCTTACCAAAGAGGAAAAAATGGAGGTTTCCCGACTAGTCGAACTTGGATATAACAGTAACGTTAGGAGGCCTGTTTGGCCTGAACAACTTGATGACTATCCACTACTACGGGGACCATCCAGAGTTGATCAAGATGCACAAGAGGTTGTGGAATAGAGCTCAGCGTCTTGCATCCCTCTGTCCTCATTCATTTGCACCTGCTCAATTCTTAGAACTAATGTTGCAATTGTTATTAGGAATGATGGTGTTTGCTTCAAAAACTGAACAGCCGTGTTATTTAATGTTATAAAACCAATAATGTGTCCTTCAGTGACACATAATCTCAGAGAACTATCGACAAAACACTTAAAAATGTCAGGATCGAGAAAAAAACCCAGCTTTACACGCAGTTCAAATCTGATTCTTTTATGAATAGAAGTAGCAAGAACATTGGAGTACGTGGCAGGTCTTAATGACATGCAGGGTCTTTTAAAATTATAGTTCACACTTGCTTTGTCTTCGGAAGAGCGAGGAAGAAAATAGCGTCCCTCGAGCAAGGAACTCAGCGTGGGCCAGGTCCGATTCAAGAGCCGCACCGAAAGTTTGTCATATCACCTTCAATTTCTCAAACGGTGAGGGCCAAAAATTGGTTGTGCTTGAACAGTACAAACTTCAACCGCGTGGTGTTCTTCATTGAACTTCAATCCAACTACCAGCCCTTAAATTCCATAAAATCAAAGGTAATCAGCAATGGATTGAAAGCCAGTAATGTCGACACGCACGAACTCCAGGACTGCCGCGAACGAGATGTTCAGACTTCTTCAGCAAAGCTCTGAACGAAAGGAATGTTGAACCTCGTGTCCCTGAAGCGAGGACGATTCAGTGGACCACACTGGCTCTTGACAGGGGCAAATGGAGACTGGCGCCCTCTCGAGGATGTCGACGATCAACGGGACCACAGGTGGGATAAAGGTGATTGCCGGCACAAATATCAGAGGAAGATCGGAATACACTCCTCTCTTTGCTGTTCAATGGATGCGACGGCAGAGCATTCCATAGAACTGGGTTTCACAATACACTGTTAAAAATGCCTTTTCTAATAAAAACCGATAAAAACCGCTATCGAAATTCATCCTCAAATCATTGGAATAAATACGCATGTATGGGTTTTCTCCCGAAAGTTTTTGAAAAAATTCAGACAATTTCTTCAGTCCTTTCTTAAATGGGGTCACTCTTTTTTGAATAGAGAGATGCGGCATCCTTCGCTTAAGATTCCGTGACAGTATCTAGATTCTAGGAGAATAGCAAAAACCAAACAAAAGCGATAAGGTCAAGTGATTATTTGAACAAGTTACCAGACAAGAACGGCTACGTGACCTCCTTGGACTTATCACCGAATTGCAGTAGTCAGCACAATGAAACCATATACACACATCACATGGCTCTGTCATCGTAACACGTGTGTGCGGTCTAACTGAAGATTGAGACCGACAGAATGACGATTTCTAGTTCATTCTAATCAGAACTACCCAGAGCGGTATGCATATAAGGTGCACTGAGAACCAGTTGGTAAGGCAGAAGTGTCGTAGTGAACTGACTTCAGAAAGCTGATCAAAAAATATTTGAGCAGTTCAGAGTCTGAGAAAAAACGGTGAATGTCGAAGGTGTGGAAGATTCGAAATTTTTCGAAAGCCCACTCTTCATTCCCTCTCCAAGTCTTTGAAGTATTAAGTAATATTTCAAAGGCTTGGAAATATCGAAACTTCTCATGAAACCTCTATTCCGGATGTTCCATTGTCGGTCATAAAAGCACAAATTTAATCTGCAGGTGCACGCATTAAGTGTTTATCAATCGCGATTTCTCTTGCCACTGGAATACGGTAGGAGTTCGTTGAATTTTAGAACTTCACATTTTCTTAATAGACAGGCAGATTCCCATGGATTTTGAAACTGCTTCGACTTTCGTAAACTTTGAGAGCCTGACCGCTTTTTCCCTGTTTTCGGCTTCTATTTGATCTATAAGTAGAGCGTTTATAGTCAGCGATTCAGCGCGTGGGGCAAAGCATATCTGATGAGGCATGTTGAATGCAATTGCAGAAGTGTGCTGAACATAGCGGGTATCCTACCCGTATTACCTCGTATTACCATGTATTACCATGTTTCACCCGTATTAGCATGTTTTCACAAAAACGAACGAGTTTTGCTGCATTTGAGCGGATTGCGTCAGACTTGAAACCTCTCTGCTCCGATGGCGGTCGCACTTTGTATTTGTTTGCCGACCGATGTCTGACTTGAGTTCCTACGTTCCGTTCTTTTCAATTCTACATTCAATTGATTGGGGACTACCGTCAGCTCGTGATGGGGCATGGGAAGCCTCATTTTTGATTGGGAGGTTTTCAAGATGAAACGTTGATGTCGAAAATGACTAGAATTATCACTAAGCATAAGGCTTTCTGTCCATACGGACAAGAAGATCTTGAAAGGCATGAGCTGCGTCTGATAAGACGTCGCGCCGTCCCAGGGTTATCCCCACGTACTTCTTTACCTGAGCATACTAATTTTACCGTCTTAGGGATGATCTGTGCCTATAGAAGCTCTGGAGCCTGAAGAGTCGAATAAGATTCTTGGGCACGAATCACGCCCATTTGAAAAAATCAGTTGATTAGTCTGTTGATTGATGACTGGCCTGATATCGAAGTGATACGCCGCTATGATCGACTATATAAGATGGCCACCTCGGTTTGCACCATTCATTCGATCTATTCGCATTCTACGACACCGTATGTCAATCGTCTACTTCCGAGGCGTTTCCGGATGCAGGCCAGTCTATGCAAGAGCAACTGCTCTACCTTGGCTGTTGGTCTTTCCCTGTTTGATGTTGTGTTCACTGGTTGCGATGCCCTTGTTTTCCCCGGTCCCGTCACTTGGCCGAATCGATCCAACCGGGCGGGGCAGGCAGTGTTTTTTCTCTGCCTCGCAGCGCCTCGTTCGGCTCTGCGCCGTCAGTTCACCGTTTGCTGTCGTCCCGGACTGACGCGATTCCTCTGAGTTCTCTGAGGTCCAGGCGTTCCTGCACAAGGAGTGGTCTTCATCCGGGATCGTCTCTTTTCCTTGTTTTTAAAGCCGACTTGACCGTAATCTCCATGTTTTGCTCAGAATACCGGCGTTACGACTGTTTCTCGTTCATCTGGAGATTTGTATACTGGTGTACTCTCAAGCCTAGACCTTCTTATTGTACAATACAGTTGATTGAACAAGATTTTTATGCATTCATAAACATCATCTACAAATGGGAGGGATCCTGGTGCGCCTCATTTCTCTTTTTTTAGTCAATGCAATCGGAATTCGCTTCGAAGCTGTTCGTGACGTCGATATTCTAAGCAGCTACATTCCTTTGAAGAAATTCTATCTGTTTTCAGCCCAAGTGTCTTTTGTTTGACGACAACATAATGGTAAAACCAAAGGTTGGAATCAACGGATTTGGCCGTATTGGTCGCCTTGTGCTCCGAGCTGCTGTGGAAAAGGACACCGTCGAGGTTGTCGCTGTCAATGACCCCTTCATCAACATCGACTACATGGTAGGTTTTCTGGAAGCTTTCTCACAATTCCTCGATATTCCACTCCTGAAGGTATAGTAGTGATGGGAATGAAGTAGAGGGGTAGGAAGGGTAACTGGTCACAGCAGATGGTAGCGTTGAGCTTGTTCAGGAAAGGAAGTGCTCTGAGGGGCACTCAGCACTTCCAAGAACGTGGGCAGCCACACCAGTAATTGGCTCGGAGTCGGGCTAGCGAAGATAACGTTTCATTGAAAAGGCCCCGCGTCGCAATCATTTGGAATCACAGAACGACCTTGAACCAGAGGTTGGTGAGGGAGAGCCGTATTGAGGGTTTGTAGTTCACAGGAAACCGTTCAGTAGTAGCTACCGCTTTTCATGACTGAACTGCTCGTAATGGTAGCCGCGGAAGTTACCCGTCCATATCCTTGAGATAGCGCTGCGGTTGGTAGTCTTATCCATTTCTGTAGGGAAATCAGGAGAGCGGTGAATGTGGTAAGGGGGAATCACGTAGGGTTGGAANGGAGTCGGGCTAGCGAAGATAACGTTTCATTGAAAAGGCCCCGCGTCGCAATCATTTGGAATCACAGAACGACCATGAACCAGAGGTTGGTGGGAACTTGCGAGCGGAGGTCGTATTGAGGGTTTGTAGTTCACAGGAAACCATTCAGTGGTAGCTACCGCTTTTCATGACTGAACTGCTCATAATGGCAGCCGCGGAAGTTATCCGTCCATATCTTTGAGATAGCGCTGCGGTTGGTAGTCTCATCCATTTCTGTAGGGAAATCAGGAGAGCGGTGAATGTGGTAAGGGGGAATCACGTAGGGTTGGAAGGTTGTGTGAAGAAGGGCTATCATCTTCGAGTTAGGACATGAATAGAGGGTCGGTAACGTTGTCAGGAAGGGCTGCTTTTTTGAGTTAGGCCACGGTTAGAAAGGGACATCATTTGGATCCTTCAATTTGGAACAGGCGAAGCATTCGATTTGGATACCACCTGCGCATCCCATGTGGGGTGTGAGAAGCATTCGATAAACAGTACTGTTGCTTGAAGGTTGGACTGAAGTTTGGGTTACGCCAAAGTAAAAGCAAAGGCAGTGGCCCTTCAAACTAACCTATCGAAGGCTGTAACACTGGGTTGCATTGGTTGGGATTTTAAGAGCACGGTCTCGGCAATGACTCAGTTCGATGAATGAGTTTCTGGGCATGGCTGGTGACGTGGCTAGTTTATTGCTAATTATGAAGCTCATACATTTTGATGGACAGACCAATTTGTAGACGAAATGGAGGGGAAAATTGAGAATGGAAGTGACGTCAAGTAATATTTCTCCCAAGGATCGTGAAGGCCCACGCGCCTTCTCAAGGGGTGCACTTCTCATGTTTGCTCGAATCTCCTAACAATCAAATAGCTGTCAAAACAGCTCTGAAGGTCTTGCTTCGAAATAGATGAGACCTCAACTACACCCGGCATTGCATTCCCCAGTCGTGAAGCCATAATACTTCACTACTCTTTCAAATCACTTAGATCAGGACGGGGGATTTTTAGCGAATATGACCGAATCATGACCAAAACTACCTAGTAAGTTTCACCTTGCAAGGCTGAAACCTGCTTCGTGGTTTTCGGTATGATTAATTATGTTTGCTGAAGGTTCACTCCATCTCTTCGACTGATTTTGCCGTCGTTGTTGTTGTGATACAATTGCAGCGACGGCATCAAGCGATGGATGTCACAATGAAAATAACAGTACAACTAAACTTTGATGTTTTGTTTACGCTTTTGGTAGCAGGGCATCGTTACAGAGAGAGATAGTTGATCGAACATCGCCGAAAACCGCCTAAAAATCCCTTTCAAGCGGCACGGCCAATCGGAAAAGTCTGCTGCCCTTGCCTCCTAAAGAGGGGACCTGACCGCAGTTTGTGTTGATGGCTTCCCGTCTGCTAGAAAGTTAGGCTATTAGCGGCTGTTTGCGTCTTCTGCTAGGGAACTAACCCTGGCTTAACAACTGGCTCACTCGAGGTGTTCTGTTGTGCTCCTATTATGGCCAAGTATATTATGGAGAGAAAAATATTAATGCCCATAAGCGATTATGCCTCTAATTTACTGTACGAAAGTGTTGTGTAGTTTTTCAAGTGTTAAGTCCCGCTTATTTTAATCCTCTTGGGAAGGCTGATCCTCTCCCTTCTCTGATGCGAAAGTTCCAACTAGTGAATCGGGAACGATGTAAATTCGATAATGTAGGCATGCGTGGGCGATTAGAGTCTTGACAGAAGTTTTACTGGCTCTAGTGTGGTACCAGATGTTGTCACAGTCCAGAAGAGCGGCAGTCTCGTAATTTACTTACATGAAGGTCATTTTAGAGGACGACACTTTCTTCCATTCCCATGGGCATGTGGGGTGGTGAAATGGAAAGGGGAACATCGATGAACATTGAACAGTTGGCATATACCAGTTTTTCTCTCAGTGCCAATTCCTCTTTTCAGGTCTACCTATTCAAATATGACTCCACTCATGGTCGTTTCAAGGGAACTGTAGCCCATGAGGGTGAACACCTGGTTGTGAGCAAGGAAGGCAAGAGCACTCACAGNATCAAGGTCCACAACAGGTATTGATGTTTTATTAAAGAAGGCTCCGTTATTGGGCACTGTCATTTCCTGAGGTGGGGGTTCCCTCAAGGTGGTGAAACAACTTGGCAATTAGGAGTAATGGTGTGCCATAAGATGATGTAACTGATCCGATCGTAAGCGATCGTCTGATCAGTCCGGTAGAGTGAAGGTCATATTTCCGGGATGTTTGATTGAAGAGAGAAAACGTTGCGGAGATTGTTTATTCCTTGTAATTAATTGGAGCAACTTCTCGGATACAGCCTTCCGTGGTGGAAGTTTTGCCGTCCGTTCGCCGGCAAATCAATCTCGAACGTTCTTTGTTCGAGTTGCGTGCATTTCACAGAATTGCGGCAGCAGAGTGACGATGGCGAGGTTACTTAAGCGCCACATGGCGTTGTCGTTTTCTATCGCCATACCCTGCCAAGTGTTGGGTGTTTTGAAAGGCGGCTAGGGTTTTGTAGTTCCTATCGAGGGTGCAGACACCGAGAGCGACTCGCCTTTCACTTCGATTTCCTGTTTATAGCAAAGTGAAGCCGCGAATGTCGAGCTGAAGCACCCACAAACAATATTGATAACACCGATGGGTAGCTCCTATCGCCACTCGGCGTGTTATCAGCGTTGTTTTGCGGTCGCTTGTAGACTCTTAGAAAAATGAGGCCTCTGATTATTGTTGCCTTGAAGAATCACTTGAATTACTCCTATATATTTGAATTGTGAAAATCGTGGTAGGTACATGAGCGTAATTGGTTTGAAGGCAGTCCAAGCTTTTGATGGGGTTCGGGAGGGTTTCAGAAGGTTGTAAGCGATCTGGAAGTAAATGTATCCTGCCGTCAGAGGATTAGTGTAAAGTGAGAAAAAGGTTGCTCTGTCACTATGATCGGCTGCTGTTGGGTTGAGAAAAAAGGCGCTTCTGTCCTGCGTTCTTCCTGGAGCACTCCTCGGGTGCGGGCCGGTGAACTTAATGGTTTTGGTATCGATCTTTGGGAAGTAGTCATTCTTTATAGCGGAGGATAACATTATGTTATCGGACTTGTGAGAGTTCACATTTTCCCTGGTGGAATGTAATGGCCTGTGCCCTGATGGAATGTTATGGCCTATGTGTTGGGAATCCAGATAGGAGGCTCAGAAAACCAGAGATTATGCATACCGTTCACACGTACGCTATTACAGTCCCTGTTTAACATCTCGAAAGGAATTATTGATGATCACAGTCCGTGCTAATCGGCGTGCGGATTAGTTGATGAATGGAAACCTGTTTTTTCTGCGACGGGCAACTGTTCAAAGCCGGGGTCAACCGACGGATTGGTAGAGTGCCGGTGTGTAAGTATCGATCCGACAGTGGAGTTGTAATAGGCAGGCATTCGAGTAATCCAGGGAAGTACCAGGCTGCATAGGGGTTACCTCATTTATGGAGTATTTTGTAAATTCATCCTAGTGGGTGGTATCATACAGTAATCGGTTTATTATTTTTCAGCAAGGACCCCGCTGAAATCAAATGGGGAGCTGATGGAGCTGAATACATCGTTGAATCCACTGGTGTCTTCACCACTGTCGAAAAGGCATCGGCTCACTTGAAGGGTGGGGCCAAGAAGGTGAGGCAGACGTTCGGAGAGTNAGTTTACGTCTGGTCTGAAAAGAAAACCTGAAGAATAAGCCTTCCAGGTTGTCATCTCTGCTCCTTCTGCTGATGCTCCGATGTTTGTGATGGGTGTGAACCACGAGACCTACAACGCAGCCAATAACCACATTATCAGGTAGGCGGAAGGCTTCCAAGTCAGGTGAACTCTCCTATTCAGCTACTAACATTTTCAGTAACGCTTCATGTACCACCAACTGTCTCGCTCCTTTGGCTAAGGTCATTAATGACAACTTCGGAATCATCGAAGGACTGATGACTACCGTACACGCAACTACCGCTACACAGAAGACTGTCGATGGACCTTCTGGAAAACTGTGGCGTGATGGACGTGGTGCTGCTCAGAATATCATTCCAGCTTCTACCGGTGCAGCTAAGGCTGTCGGTAAGGTCATTCCCACCCTGAACGGCAAACTCACTGGAATGGCTTTCCGTGTGCCCACGCCTGATGTGTCCGTTGTCGATCTCACTTGCCGTCTTGAGAAACCAGCCAGCATGGACGATATCAAGAAGGTTAGGAATTTTCAAAGTTCATTACTAAAGTGAGGGTAAGATAATAAGGCTTAATTGAGCTTTGGGCTTTCAGGTCATCAAGTCCGCTGCAGATGGCCCCATGAAGGGTATCCTGGGTTACACAGAAGACCAAGTGGTGTCGACTGACTTTGTGTCTGACACTCACTCTTCGATCTTTGACGCTGGAGCATGCATCTCTCTCAACCCGAACTTCGTCAAGCTCATCTCATGGTAAGTGTTAATACAGTCATGTGGCTTTCGGTTGAGTTTGAGATTTCCATCGTGAACTCGTACAAGTTGACGAGTTTCAGGTATGACAACGAGTACGGATACTCGCATCGTGTTGTCGATCTGTTAGCCTACATTGCAAGCAAGGCCTAAAGGAAGTATTTAGCATGTTTGCTGGTCTGCGCTCTCAATAAAAGTTGTGGTTTTCTAATGTTTCGTTGAATTAGTTACCACTATGAGCGTCCATTTTTTCTGTAGTTATGTAGGTCTCCCTTTTTTTGTAGCATGTAATTTATGTAATGTAGAGTTTTTTATGTAATGAAATTTGTGATGTATTTGCTAGTAACATGGACAAAGTTTTACTCAAAATGTTGTTAGACTGTTAGGTTTGACAGACTACCATGGGCGAGGGTTTCGTCTGGAAGGTATTTGGTTGGTTATGACGCCAAGGAACTTAGAACTGCCATGCTAGATGGGCGGCTGGAAAAGCAGAGCTAATGGTGAAAGGTGCTTCTGCGAAAATGCCAAGAGTAGAGCTAAAACAGTGGCGCTGATCGCAAACAGTAGGAAAGGGGTCAACCCTAACCACATGATTGCCTTCCTAGAATACTGCCCAATTTAGCAGCTGCAGCTCCTTGTGAGAGTTTCGTTTTGTAATGGGATCGGGTCATCTGCATTTTTGCCAGCTTAGGAATTAGTTTACGGTAGTTGAGAGTTAAGTCATGATCGGTTTGTAACCCTTATGCTGGCTGGAGCTTAAATCGAATAAGTATGACCAACCTGCAGGCAGAAAAACCTCTTAGCAGCTGAATCAACTGAGAGACGAAATTTTTCCTAGATTTCCACGTCCACATGGGCTTTCTTCTATCGATTGCCGTGCCCTTCACCATATGTGCAGTTTTATAGAGGTAGCATCAAAAGTAAGCATTAAGCCGAAAGGGGCTTCCGACGAGTTTATCGCATGCAGGAATGCAGAATAATCATGAATTGATTTGCATCTTTTGAAAGGGAACAGTGGCTAGGACATCGCTTTCTTCAGAAAAGTATTATCTTGGAGGGCAGGCTCTGAAGTACAATGTAGACGGGATGATTGAGCCTACAGCTTTTCCTCAGTAAGTTTGGTTGGCAAGACAAAAGCAGTAACCTCAACATCTGGAGCGAAATTGCTCACATATCTACAAATGACAGTTTGTCAGCAGAAAACCTAAGTGCAACAAATGATTCAGGTGCTCTACTCCTAGCTTCTCTACGTTTAAAAAACTACTTTCATGATGATTTTATGAGAGCGCATGAGAAATGAGAAGCTGGGATAACGGCTTCACCTTAGTCAGATTTTTCCACGGAAAAGAGCGAGAAGTGAAAAGAATAATGAGCTCAGTTTCTTTTGAATAGACATTGAACTGATCTTTAAAGAACCCAAGAAATAATCTTCTCTTCGAGGATTTTCAAGGAAGCCTGAAGCTATAATCTGCTAGTGATTCACCACATAAGTTTCAACCAACCCT